TAGTTTCGCCTTGTCAATGATGCATTACGGACGACATGGTAATTATATCGTCTAGTCGTTCGGATGGGACGAAAAATCTAGGTCACGTGTACACATCGGTGTGAACGTAAAAGAACCCTTAACTGTTGGAATTCGATATAAGAATAGCACTGCTGTCCGTACACAATGTCCCTAGCAGCTCCCTGGCGTATGGCCTCCTTCATTAGTCCAGTCGGTGCAGAAAAGTAGGACGTTAAACCCCATTTCATTTCATTCACATATAATGAGACTAATATAATCGAAAGTGACCAATCCTCTTAACAACGGCGACCATCAGATACCTGGTGGCTGAATTATATTAATTATTACGTCATCAGGAGGATATGATGTAATATAATTACCACCTATTATGATATCGCTGATCAATCCGCCATTATTTATGACGTCATTATCTCTCTATCGTATAATAGTGCTGTATGATTCGAATTAGTTAATTAATGAAATTGTTGTGTAGAGTCAATATATTGATTTATAACACCACGTACGTCATTTTTAAACTGTCCGTTTGTCCGTTCGTTCGCTGGACATTATGAGACTAACATGTTATTGATATTTACTACTGTTAATGGTGTCATGCAAGATAAGGGGTGGGTGGGATATTTCATTCCTGTTTTTTTTATTAATACAGTTATAGTTTGAATTCACAAAAATCACACGAGTTGAAAGTAGGTCGATAAAAACAGAAATAAAATGGGATTTAGCATCCTATCGGGGTAAAGACCGACATAATCCATGTAGTGTGCTCTGAGAGAAATATGCACGGACACCAGCATTTCCAACTGTCATGTGCACGCCAACGCGTGTACCAAGGGACCTGGGTTTTTCGTACCACGCGAAAGACTAGAGGCAGTTCCCTGCTTGCCTTTTAGTCCAGAAGGGGACTGGAATCAGGCTTGAAAATCTCCAGGAACTTGCTCGACCAACACCGAGATCAAAGCCTGGAATATACGCCACTGTGGTTCCCTGTTAAATACTGACTCTAAGGGCTGGTTTAGGCTGGTGATATTGTAATTAGTATGAAACACGGCAATTTTATTGGAGGCAAAAAAAAAAAAAAAATCCTAAACTGAAAAAAAATATCTAGTACATTTGATCTGGGTTACGACAAGACAAAACGGAAACGAAAAAAAAAAAACAAAAAAAAAACATTTAAGGACATCCAATATGAGCGATTGAAAACCGGAAATGAATATCCACCTGAGCAATAACCGTTGGGGGTAGAATCAGGTGTGTTGCATAGATAACACTAAGTGGTTTGTACATAAAGACCTGTCATAGGTAACCACATATGGGGATACCGTAAAAAACATAATCTCAATTAAATCTACCATATCATCTCCACCAAACATTTCATATCTTATCCAGTCAGTTCATGGTTCCGTTGGATGGCCGAATGGTGAGCACGTGCACGCTGTCATTGATTCAACTGGCGTGGTTTCGATTCCCCGGTTGTACGTAACAAAGAGTAGGGTCGCCTGTCCAACCTCGTGGGTTTTCTCCGGGTCCTTCGGTTTCCTCCCACTGCTAAAGACCCCTACGCGCAAGCGAATTATTGAAATAAAAATAAACCATATGTTAGTCCCGAAATGACCTACTTTGTGTCGAGTGGACGTTAAACCCCATTTCTCTCTCTCTCTCTCTCTCTCGCTCTCTCTCTCTCTCTCACACACACACACACACACACACACACAGTTCATGATTCACCATATAGTTGACTTGAATTGACGTCAGGGTTAACATCCGCTTTCATCTTGGGTGATATCGCAGAAAAGTGTTTCCTGGGAAACCTGAGAGAGGAGTCAAGCCACGGAGTATATTCACATATATCATTAAGTAGTTTGTCCCAGGTAAAGGTATGATGACACCCAGCACGAGCCGATAATTCGACAGGTGTGTTTGTACTAATCTAATCCGTTAATCCCTGGATCAACATATTTTATCTACTAACTAGTCAATTACTAGATACGGTAGCGTGATCGCTAAGATAAATTAAACATTTTACATTTCGTTGGGTTATCGTCACCTGTAGTGACGGGTAGATGTTTGGTGAAGCCTGCAGGTAACTCCTTGATTGGGTTATCGTCATCTGTAGTGACAGGTAGATGTCTGGTGAAGTCCGCAGGTAACTCCTTGATTGCATGCACCCCCTCCCAAATGAGATCTGTCAGGTAACACTTGAAATGGATCCATCCACACCAGCTTGTGGTACCACAGTACAGCTTGTACAACGAAGTTAACAGCAAGGAATTTAATTTTTATTTCACTTTGTGAACATGCCCCTCACCCCCAACACCGAACCCCCTGAAATGGATGTCCTGTGCGGTCTATCCCCACCCTGCACACCACTGGTCACTTCTATAAGACATCCCAGGAGATTTATTACACAACGAGACAAAATAAACGATACAGACAGCGCCATTAGATATCACGAGACCTGCTTCAAGAGTCCGTCACAAAGAACCAGTTTCTGTTAATATGAGTCTTTCACAAAGAACCGTTTATTTTTGTGAAATATATCTGCGACTCTTCGTTCTAATAAAATCAAAGTGTAGCTTGAATCTTGAATCTACAAAGGGTCGTTCAAAGTGGTACAGGGGGCCACGGTGGCTAAGTGGGTAAGAAGCTGGCTCGCTAGCCTGGAGGTCGGGTGTTCGATCCCTGCATTGGCCGAGAAAGTTCATCCAGATTTCCCGGCGTGGTTCTCCCTTGTCAGTGATGCAGGACGGTGGGCCTGAGAAAGACAGCTGCCTAGTCCTTCGGATGGGATGAAAAACCGAGGTCCCGTGCACGTAAAAGATCCATTAGCAGTTGGATTTAAGAGTAGGCCGCAGTGCCGCTGTCCGGGCAAAATTTCCCTCATAGCACACAGTATGGCGTATGCCCGTCTTCATTAGCCCAGTTCAGAACAGAACAGTAGAACGTTAAATCCTATTTCATTTCATTTTAAAAGTGATACAGTCCCACGAAAGTATTTATAGAGTACGTCAAGTAAGAAACAAGGCTATACTTAAAATAGAATGTTACAGCCTAATGTTATGTTCCTAATGTCGTACGATGCGTTACGATAGGATTGTTCCTGTTGGGTCCACGTAAATTACTCGGTCTCCCGTGATCTGGAAAAACCTAGTAAGTCGATATTTGGTGAAAATTTAGTTAGTCACAAATTTGGAATTACTAGGCTTTACCTATGGTGGCTGTTAGCGGCCATTCAAATGAATCTAAATCGTCGCCTTGTGAAGAAGGCGACAAGTCGACAAGTCGACGAAATCAACCCGCCGACACGACAAAATGAAGGCGACGATCGTCGGGTTATTTTGTCGTGTCGGCGGGTTGATTTCGTCGACTTGTCGACTTGTCGCCTTCTTCACAAGGCGACGATTTAGATTCATTTGAATGGCCGCTAACAGCCACCATATTTACCCAAACTTTTTATTAAGTTAAAGTGTGTGAAACTCTTCAATATTGTCAGTTTCGCATCTGGCCGAACCTAGTAAATCAGCAAGTTTCAAGCAAATCATGCAAATTTATCCCAAAAAAACCTAGCAAGTCAACTTGCTAGGCTTTATTAGGCTGTTGCTAGGTATGAACCAATCAGATTCGCTCATTAATATTGTAGTTCCTGTCTGATTCTGTTGAATTCTATTCTTGATTTTAGCAATAAAGACTTAGTGAATATCAAACAACAGGTTGTAGGTTGTTGTTGATGAAAATTCTTGGTTGTACATCAGCTTTGTTAATGTAACCAGATTGCGCAAATAACTTTGATAAAAACTAATGCACTAGAATTACTTCATATCATGTACATATGAAAAGCCAAACTCAAATTTATCTGCTTTACAGCAGCTTAATCCTGAACCAAAACAGTTTTCCTTCGTTTTCTCAAATTCATGTTCGACTGACTTACTAGGTTTTTCCAGATCACGATACGATCAACAAGTGTTTGGGGTTTTTATTTTTTAATATTTTTTTATAGATAATTTATTTTGAATATGTTTGAGTGCAAATGTATCATTAAAGTACACAGTTTGTACGTGAGAAAGCGCCTTAAAGAGATTTAAATTTTCACAAATAATGCCCTAGGGTCGTTTATTCAAACATTAATATTCTTTTTATGACATGAATCAATCAAAAAATCAAAGCGGATACCATTCATATATATATATATAGGGAAATAACAAAATATAAATTATATAACACAATAAAAAAAGGTGAATCATGATCCCTGTAACATACACACGCGAATATGTATCATTTATATAACCAACCTTGATATCTATCCATTGTTTTTTACCTGTTTTTATGCCAGGTAACAATATAACATTCAAAAATAGACAGACGTTTATTGTAAATATTGCATAATAAATTTCCTTAATAAATAACCAACACCTAAAAAAAGCCACACAGTTATTCACGATATATTTCAGTTGTTGAATTATAATAAAAAATTAAAAATACTCATTTGTTTATTTTTGTTTTTAATTACAAAGTTAGAAATAACAATAAATATTGCGTACCGCAGAAACTGTGCTTAAAACCAAAACAGAAATACCACAATTATATTCCTTTTAATTTAAGTGTGTAAATTATTTCATAAACAACATTATCCACGTGCTCCGACAAAATGGAAGTACAAATAGTCATCAAAAATGGTGTACCACGTCATGCTGTTCTGTTGTGAAGTCACCGCAGACAGTACCACCCTAAAAATACAAAACAGTGATATTTTTAAATAATGTCTATTTTTGAATGAATCTTTTTTAAAAATGTTCTTTTTTATAAATTTTGTAACACACGCGTGTCGCTACATGACTGTACACAAACTAGACTCGGCCATTGTTCGTGTTACTATAAATAGATCGTATCCTTGTGGGGTTATTGTTGTAAACTTATAATTAATTGTTTTAATTTCATCACAGACAAAGATATAAATAAACAAACAGTTGATATAAAAACAACCACCTGCTTCATTTATACAAGACAGATTTCTATGTTGACCTGATGAACATGGACACCTTTAAATAGCAACACATACGATCTAAAAGGACAAATTGTGATGTGGAACTGACATGTCATGTCATTGAATGATATACGACCACAGTTTCACTGTCATGTGAGTCGGAGTCAAGTCTAGTGACGTTTAAAACTTATAAAACCGACTGTTCATATAGACAAAAATCTTCGGTGGTTAATATCAGAGACTGTGCAATACAATAAGTTGGTGTTTCAGAGTGCTGATCATCCACTGTATCTGAATAATCTATTTTATCTTGGGATTTATATCTGGAATGTCGCCACCAACATTTGAAGCTTATAAGAAGCCTACATATGATGTCAATGTAAAGGTAAATAATAATAATAATATTATTAACTAGTACAGTCGATTTCCAATGTGTCGAAGACGCTAAACTCTGTGTCCTGGTAAATATCTCTACGTCTTGGTATCTCGATGTCCTAGTATATCTCGACGATTGGTATCTCGATGTCCTAGTACATCTCGACGTCTTGGTATCTCGATGTCCTAGTAGCTCTCGACGTATTGGTATCTCGACGTCCTGATATATCTCGACGTCCTGGTATCTCGATGTCTTGATATATCTCGATGTCTTGGTATCTCGATGTCCTAGTACATATCGACGTCTTGGTATCGCGATGTCCTGGTATAGCTCGACGTCCTGGTATCCCCTGTATTTTTACCAGAGCATAAACGGAACATAAAATGGTTGTAATGATAAATACCCAAAGTACCTAAACGATAATTCGACTTTAAAAACTTTTTCAGAATCAAAACCAACATCCTTAGCAGGGGCATCTGTCGTTTGCTTTGACGTACTGTTCAATTCTATATTATCTATCGGAGTAAGCATGAAATACGTTTTATATCCCGCCCACGGGATTTTGTGCAAGTCATTCTAACGCAGCTTTCTAACATTATCTATCGGAGTAAACACAAAATACCAAATTCTCTTGCTTTTGACATTTTACCAAATTTGCCCACTGAAGTTTTATGAACGACATTCTTCTAACGCGGCTTTTTTTATTTTTAAATACAGATGCAAGATCCAATCAAAGATTACCAAGAAAAACCAGAACCCATGACCCCGGAAGAACCTGCAACTGATACCGGGACGAAATGTAGAAGATTGCTAAAGAAACGCTGTGGATGCTGCCGTGGCTGTAAAGCATTTGTTGTTCTGTTATGCGTTGTCGTTATCACAGCCGGTGTTCTGGGGATTGTGGCCATTAGAAAACATTTCCACTTGGCGCATAAACAGGTTGGGATTAAATCTTTATTATCGTATAGATTTGGATATATAGGGGGTTGGCTGGTCTAGTGGTTTAACGCGTGCGCTTGAGGTTACAGGGTCTGTCATTGAGTCAAGTGCCGTGGTTTTGATTCCCAGCTTGTGCGTGAAAGGGAGAAGGGATGCCCTGTCCACCATCGTGGGGTTTATACGGGTCCTATACCGCCCCAAACTGCTAAAGACCCCTGCGAATTAACGGGTTCGATTCGGATGTTGGAGTGGCACTAAAGGCTGCCAAGGAAACCATCTAGTGGTTCATACTCACAGAAAACTCAGACTGGTGCGTGCCTCCAGTAACGTCAATTTCAACACTCCGTTAAAGGAACCAAGTCAATATCAACACAGTCGTCGACATTACAAACTTGACTTATTGGTCAATTTAAAACAAAATTGACGTTGTTATCTTACCGTAAAAAGTTGGGCTTCTGATAACCAATATTTAAGACAAAATGAAAATTTTAAAATTAGCACACGAATCGTGTACATGTGCATGTACCATAATGCTTCCGAGTGCCATTTGTATGAAGCGACTCGATGAACGACGCCAAACATATCCCATGTAGGAGAATGCTACCAGTGTAGACTGGAATAACCAGACTCCAAAAACTGTCATTTATTTCGGACTGATTAGAAATTAGAGTAAAAACAGTAATGAATGAATGTAAATAAGTTTATATAGCTTCATATAGATGCGTCCATTTCTATGTGCTACAGAATAGCGGTTTAGCACCTTTAACAACGATTTGCCATTTATTTTGGCCCTCACTCTAATAAACATATTAAATTACAGATTATTAAACATGAGGCTGTAGTAAATGGTCGCCTGTATCCTGAGGTTTATGAAGTTGATTATGATCATTCTGTTATTAAAGTGAGAAATGCTTATACTGGTCTGATAGCACCTGCTGATATACTCTCCGATTATAGACAGGTATGTTATAGTGTCTTATATACAGGTACGTCATAGTGTCTTATATACAGGTACGTCATTTATATACAGGTACGTCGTTGTGTCTTCGTAAGTACGTCATATTGTCTTCTTTGGTGCGGCATATCGTCTACGTTATATACCACCAGCAAATGTAATACCTGACGCAGCTCTACAAGTGACCACAGGGGAATTTGTTTAATATCTTCGACTTCTCTCTTTAATTTGTATAATTTCTCTGGGAATATGTTTCTAAACGAAATAGATATTTTTAGTGGGCGTTTAATCGTACCCCTTGTTGTTTTTCTTTATTTCCAGAAAATGAAAGTATACAAAGATACCGACAACAGAGTGTGTTATATCGATGCTCTGAAAAAAAGTTTTGAAGAGAGTTTGTTCCAAATTTCAGCTAAGGTAATAATAATACTATTTTCCAGTATCAACGTCATTTTCATCATCGGCGATCACCACTGCCTGTTATTTTTGTATCAGCAGAAGTAAAGCCAATCATAATACCACCTCATCTGCATTATCCTCACCGGGAGAATCAGCTTCACCTTGAGCAGGAGCGCGGCGAGCAGCATCTTCAGTCATTAATTTCTTTAGTAACTGGATTAGTATAACCGGCACAGATAATAAAGTAGTTTCACCATGAGCAGGAGCACAGCGAGTATAATCTTCAATCATTAACTTCTTCAGTACATGGAATAGAATAACCAGCGCAGATAATAATGTCCCCAGCTTCGCCATGAACAGCATTTTAGCATCTTCAAACATTCCCTACTTTAATTCCTGGATCAGATAATAATATAAGTCCCCGTTATCTACTGCATCACCAGCTTCATCACCAACACCAGATTCACCAGTAGCATCCACAGCAGCGTCAGTGATATTATCAACAGCACCTACATTCACCAATCCGCCACCAACTTCCCCAGCATCGGATGGACCAGCAACAACATCATCACATTCACTATAAAATTAATCAGTCCACGGTAATCAAAGGGATTCAAAACGGTATCACACGGTTATTTCATTAACCTCATCGACATCATCTTCGTCATCATCATTAATAGCTATGCTGTGTTTTATATCAATAGATAGCGAATCCACCACCACCAGGAGAAGTGATAACCAGTGTTAATCCCATAGAAGATAAAGTGGTAAAGAAGTTTGCTGGTAAACGTATAGCCAAACATTGTAAAGGCATGCCAGCTTATTGGATTGTAGACGTTGTACCAACGGATGCTCCAGCACCTGCTACACCATCGCCATTACCTCCATCTTTCCCCTCTACTCGTACGTATAGCTATAATATATTATAAATATATTTTTACACATTTTTATAGCGCACAACTGCCCTATACATGAGCTCATATGCGATTTGTAAAGACATATAGATTAAGACAATATTACATTCACATGGGGGTTGGATTGCCGAATGCTTAGAGCGTGCGCGTTGTCTCATAAGGTCTGTCATTGAGTCAACTGGCTTGGTTTCGATTCCACGGTTGTACGTGACAAAGAGTAGGATCGCCTGTCCAACCTCGTGGGATTCCTCAAGGTCCTCCGGTTTCCTCCCATTACTAAAGACCCCTACGTGCACGCGAATTATTGAAATAAAATTGAACCATATTCCAGTCATTATGTTGCAGTCAGCAGCGACTTGGTAACAGACCATATTATAATTTTGTAGCCAGTTTGGAGTATTGACAGGGTCGGTGTAAGGTTGGGGGAGAGGGTGGCTGACTGGGATGTAGTCAGGGGACTCCAAATTAGTTCTAAAAATAGGTTCTATTTATATCACTCTACTGACATACAAATTGAATTGTTACTGTGTTGTTGCTGGAGCAACGGTGGCTAAGTTGGCCGAGAAAGTTCATCGGATTTTTCGACATGGTTTTCCATTGGTGTAGGACGGAAGGCCTGACAAGGACAGCTGTCTAGTCGTTTATTAGCCCAGTTGGGGCAGAACATTTGCGCTTTAAACCCCATTTCATTTCGTTTTTGTTGCAAGGTCCCCGGCCTAATTCGGCCCAGTCGGTGCAAAAATAGTAGAACGTTAAAACCAATTTCATTTAATTCGGCCCTAATTATTTACTAATTAGATGTTTTGACATAAATTTTAAAAACGTGTATGTAATGTAATTATTTCTATCTTATTATTTATAGCTTCAGTCTAGGAACAAAGATGATTCACAAAAACACTCTGGGAAACTTACAGAAAGCCTCATGTGGACCGGAAACACCCATTCATTCCCAGTGGATTTTATACTCATGTGCATGTGTTGTTTCAAAACAAAAAATCAAAACCATTGTGGCTCTAATAAATATTTTTTGAAAATAAAAGAAATTTGAATATATTTACAATTTCCCAACCTTACTGAGGAAACTTACTGACATATAACTATATGTTTGCTTACTAGAAAAACGTGGGTTTTACACCACGCTCCAATCTCGTGGGTTTTGTCCGAGTCCTCCGGTTTCCTCCCACTGCCGAAGAACCCTACGCGCAAACGAATTATTCAAATAGAATTAAACCATATGTTAGTCCCAGAATGACCTAGTTTGTGTCGAGTGGACGTTAAACCCCATTTCTCTATCTCTCTCTTTACACCATAATTTTTAGGAGAATCTCCCGAAAGTGCGACTATCATTTGGAAAGTGAATTTGTCCACTGCTGTGGCTGAACATGTCTGCGACAAGAATCTCACATTACTTATTGACCAACTTAGTCAAACAATTCCCTAGGATTCTCTTTATATAAAGTTCATCAGGATTTTCGGACGTGGTTTCCCCTTGTCAGTGGTGCATGACGGAAGGCCTGACAAGTGCAGCTTTAGTCGTTCGGATGGGACGAAAAACCGAGGCCCCGTGTATACATTGGCGTGCATGTAAAATATCCCTTGGCAGTTGGAATTCGATATAAGAGTAGGCCACAAAATTTCCCCCATAGCACACTGTATGGCGTATGCCCGCCTTCATTAGTAGGACGTTAAACCCCATTTCATTTCATTCATTCCTCTTTATGTAAAGGGCTACGTTTTCAAAATGTCGATTCCTGGCCTTACATTCCCTGCTCAATACTTATACTTGTGTCACCGGACTCCTTTTGAACAACCAAAACTAAATAATTAGGTTCATGAGTAGGTAAGTAACCCCCTACAATTATCCCCTCCTCCTGTTCCATTCATCCCGACACCTAGACCCTCCAGCCCCATTTATATACCTCAGATAAAACGTTTAGGGGAATCTCCATTTTCTAAAGTTTTTTGTTTTTCAAGTACTTCAGGTGAGAAGACGCCATCTTGAAATAAAATCGCCGTTGGGGCTTTTAAAGTAAAGTATTATTATCTAATGAAATAACAATACCTTTAAAAATTCCATCATGGTGTCTGTTTCCATCCTCTCTTTTCTCTTCTTTCTTTTATTCGACGAAATAACACATAAGGGTCAACCACGACGAAAGGGATTTCTTTTAAGGGAAAACTTTATATTTTGACCCCTATTGTGGTCTCGACGTTATTTTCTGACATCCACAGATCCAACAGCGACCAAACACAAAAACATGATATTTGGTTTATTTTGAAAATAAACTATGGTGTTGATTTCATTTGAAAATGTTTTCCTTAGAAAAACATGATCCGTTTATTGACTGAAGGTCATTTTTTAATATAAATTGTAGGGGTTTTGTATTGTGTTCTGTCAATGAAGCGTCTTGTTTTTAAGACCCCGGCTCCTACTTAAGCGATATCATTATTCACAAAAATAAAATGAAATGGGGTTTAATGTCCAACTTTTCTGCACCTAGCGGGATAACGAAGTTAGGCGAAATGAAATGTGGTTTTACGTCCTACTGTTCTGCTCCGACTGGGCTAATGAAGATAGGTGTACGCCATGCAGTATAAGGGAAATATTGCGCTACCGCCTACTTTTATTTCGAATTCAGTCTGTAAAGGGTCATTTTGCGTACATTACAACTCGTCCCATCCGAACGACTAGACGCTGTTCTTGGCTAGCCCCTCTGTCTTTTACTACTGTACTTCATGCTACACAAACAGCATCGTGTAGTTTTAGATCCTTCTCCTCGCCTTATATTGGGGGTTGGTTGGTCTTGTCTTATGGTTTAACGCGTGCGCATGAAATCACAAGATCTGTCATTGAGTCAAATGGCATGGTATCGATCGTTTCCCCGCTTCTACCTGACAATGAGTAGGGTCACCTGTGGGTTTTCTCCGGGTCCTCCGGTCTCCTGCAACTGGTAAATACCCCTGCGCGCAAGCGAATTGTTGAAATAAAATTGAACCATATGTAAGTCCCAAAATGATCTAGTTTGTGTCGAGAGGACGTTAACGTAACTCCGGTCTCTCTCTCTCTCTCTCTCTCTCTCTCTCAACTTAAAGGCGCATGGGGAGCAAGGTAGGGGCAGGGAATAGGTTGGGGTTGGGTTTCTCGTCAATACAATACTTGGGTTATTATGAAAATAACTGTGAGAATTTCGCCAGGATAGCATCTTTAAAGTTTGTAGTTGTATAATCCGTGTATATAATTGAAGGTTGATAGTTTACTGCACTATACCATACAGGTAATATAATATTTTATTCTTCAACCTTGATGGTGACATCCAAGATATCACATACAGGTCTTTCAGTTCATTTTAACAACAATAAAACTCATCCCAGTATTAAAATAACACTGTCACTCACGAACAAGCGCTATTCATCTTGTTCATTATGGTGCAATATAGACCGGTTGGTGCTGACGTGTCAATGACATTAAACACCACATCATTCAGTAAGTCGTCTATGAGGCGACAGTCTTCGGTAGAAGTTTAAGGCTCGGCCAATTCAAGTACCATCGACATAAACTTGGCATACTTATTCCCTGGACGATTGGGCATCAATTTGTGATATGACGTCAAAATTTCAAGATGGCTGATAGATTCCTGGTTTATAGTAGGTTATACCAGTATTTGTTTCTCATACATTTTGGGCGCATACAACAGTTTAAGAGTAAACTATATGGACAGAATTTAAGATAAAAAATTGAAAGTCATCTTGAGTCCATGTGTTTCCATTGATTCGACCTAATCAGGGAGGGATTCCTCGGACCATTGCTTACCAATCTGATTTTTTTAAATATATTTTCAGTGTCCTCTACTATATGAAGATCTGGCAGGTTGTAGTGGAAGGTCGCGTCAGGGGCCATACGTGCGGCTATTGACCCAATGACGTCAGACATTTGATTAATCGATCAGCGTTAACGTTTCTAGTAGGATACCCACAGTTCCGTACACTTTACACCATGAACTCGCTGTAATAGACCGTTTCATTTGCTAATCCCACACATCAACCAGAACGCGAGTTATTTAACAAATCCTCCAGATCCTAGTGTAGTAAAGATAATTAAAACGAAATTTTAAACTAAAAAAAACAACGAAACGAAATAGGATCTGTGTTTTAATTAGATTGATTGCTTACTAAATATAGTGAAATCCACGTCATCTATTAGTTTATTAATATTAGTTTAGTTTCGCAATTATATGCCCTTCACAACAAAAACGTCGTTTTGAGGAGGTCACGTATATTGTTTACCTAATATGGCGTCCCTACGGCGTTGCTAGCTATCGCGAGACATGGTTTCAATTCAGTTAAAAATAAAACAAAGGTCGAGTCTGTCATTAAAGTCTGCACCCCGTGTCTTAAACAAATACTTAGTTTATTGTTGTAAGGTGTCGTGGTTTTTATAAGGCACGGATAAACTAATCGTGGGATTTAAGACATGGGGGTGGGGGAGTAGGGCGATGCTACAACCTACTCTTGTATCAAATTCCAACTGCCAAGGGATCTTTTATGTACACGCCAATGTGTACACAGGGGCATGGTTTTTTTGTCCCATCCGAACGAGTAGACAGCTGCCCTTGTCAGGTAGGCTACATGTAAATATACATGCAGGAGGAAGGGCCAGCTGATTTTCATTTATTAAAAATCGCCACAACATAAAATCAAATACTATGTGGCGCCTTCTTTAAAAAAAAAAGATAACTTATCCACTGTAAAACATTAATTGGTTTATTATGCAAGACTAAATCGTTCAATCAATGTTATTGTGATTCAGCAGTCACTAAACTTAATGAAATATATGGAGAACAAATCAAGAGAATAGATTTGAATACAGTGTCTACGGTTTACGGGGGTTGGGGTTCGTGCGACGTGCACATTTTCAGAAAATTTTGCGGCGGAGGAGAGTGTGCACGTTGTAAGAAAATACATAGCCTATAGTCCAGATAATCGGGGCCTAAAAGAGTGACATTGTATTTTCACCACGGTCCGTAGCCACAAATTAAGTCGCAGGCACCTGTTACGGTTTCTGCACGTCTCCCACAGCTCTGTAGCATCTGACTGAAATAGGCTCTGTTATTAATCGATGAGGGACGTTTGATAATATCCCCAAACTGTAGTAGGCTAGACCTAGTCCATTAACTGTTACCCAATTAAATAAATAAAGAAATTCCACTTGTTCTCTGTTTGACAACAGCATTTATTTTATTTCCTGGACAATTTGCAATCGTCTTAATGTTAACGTTCCGACATGCCCAGATCAAACCATTTAAATAACTGGACGTCCCGCTGTTTATATTACCGTAAATCGCGTAACCAAGCTCCAACATCGACATCGGAAAAAAAACATGTACCAATCTCCGGAATGGCTTTCAAGTACGGACCTAACATGCCAGGACGACGTTCTCTTTTTTTGATTGCATTAACGGTAATCGTTCCGTTGACATCTCAAAATCATGCCCACAATTTAAAGATGGCGTTCGTCCTTAGTAACGTTATTTAATCGACGTAATATCCTCCAAGAAAAATGTCGAAGTTGGAATAAATTTGTGTATAGATTTGTTTAGGATGTTTTATTGGAGTTTGAAAGGGATTTATTCGAGATTAATGTATTTAACTACGGACCTTCTGTCAATAATTAAGGTATCTGGGCTCGGGGCCAGGGCGGTATGGGTGGAACCGTGTAGGGTTGACTGTGGGTAAACACCGTCGGTGACGAAGTTTGTTTAACCCCCGGTATGTTGATGTTGTTTAAAAGTCTTCTGATAAGACTGTGAAGTTTGACATTCACATCACCTCGTGTGTCGTCATAGAGGAGTAAAAACTTGCTGTTCACGATATAGACTCGTGTTGTCTGAAGTTTGTTGTGAATTGTTGTTTTTTGGGGGGATTTTTGCCTTGTTGGCTGACGTCGATCACCTTTCTTAGAATTAAATCATCAGACTTCTCTGAAAACATTCAACCAGAAACCCCCCCAAAAGATTAATTAAAACCCAAAACAAAGAAACGAATCAACAGAAGAC